GTTAGCCAGGATGGTCTCGATCTCCTGACCTCGTGATCCGCCCGTCTCGGCCTCCCAAAGTGCTGGGATTACAGGCTTGAGCCACCGTGCCCGGTCGGTCAAACTTTATTTAGGCTCCTGAGCCTTCTCCTAGGCACATCTGAGCACTTCCTTATAAACTCCAGTTTTAGCAAGAATCCTGCAAAGTCAGTTTAGCGAGAAGCCCTCATCCTTGACATCTGATCGGATTCCCCCTCTGTCCTGAAGGTGCGGTCTGACCATCCTGGCCGGCCTTCAGCAAGAATCCTGTTAGGGGAGTTTAGCCAGAATCCCTGGTGGCTGACGTTTCCTCCTAGTCACTGTCCATGCACCGCCCCCACCCTGCTCCTGGACTGTCCATGCACCGCCCCCACCCTGCTCCTGGACTGTCCATGCACCGCCCCCACCCTGCTCCTGGACTTGCCCTTGCGGCCTTTGAGGCTGAGCCTTTGAAATGAGTAGAATCTCATCTCCATGGTCCCTTATACCTAGTGAGATGGTCCTAAATAGTCTTCCCTACAGAGCTTTAGCAAATGTCTTTTTTTTTTTTTTGAGATAGAGTCTCGCTCTGTCGCCCAGGCTAGAGTGCAGTGGCACCATCTCGGCTCATTGCAGTCTCTGACTCCCTGGTTCAAGCAATCCTCCTGCCTCAGCCTCCCAAGCAGCTGGGATTATAGGCACCCACCACCACGCCCAGCTAGTGTCATTTTTCATTGAATTTTTTTTTTTTTAACAATGGGGACAAAAGAGGGTCCGCAAGCAGGGCTGCTGCTGGGCACTGTGGGAGGGCTGCCTGGCGGGACAGGCCCCCACATGCAGGGGCCCTTGGAGGCTCCCCTTCCCCTGCCAGCTGGGCTGGGGTCTCTGTGTCAGGATTGTCCTCCCCACCACTTTGGGGATGGACCTCCACTGTTATCCTAGGGAAGGGACCGGGCGGGGAGTCTGCATGCTGAGCGGGTCTGCCCGAGGCCTCTGCTATCCCAATGCAGCCCCCAGTATTTAGACCTGCCCCCAGTGACCTGCTCCCTCTTGCCCATCATTCCAGGAACTTCCTGCTCCATGCCTGCGCACATCCTGTCCTGAGGCCAGCTTCCCCTGCTCAGCCGCAGGATGCAGCCACCCACCCTCCCAGGAGGCCCTTCCCTGCCCCTGTGGCTTCCTGCTGGCACTCACTGCACTGGGTAGTTCCTCCTGGTGTGTGGGGCCCCAGTCTCTGTCTCCTATTGGATTTGATTTCTACCAGAGCAGGGACCTCCCTGAGTCTTCACGGCCCAGAAAAGTGCCCAGCATGCTCCTGCACACCATAAATACCTGTCCACGATCACTGAGTGAAGACATCTCATTAAAGATGACATTAAAGAACAGGGCATAGGGCTTGGCATTCAGTAGGCACGCAGTACTTGATGGCTTTGTTATTTCCAGTCTGGGGTTGTGTTCGTGCCTCACTTTCCCACCTGGCCTGACAGGAGGGGCTCAGCTGCTGGCTGTGTCTCTGTGCCCCTTGCCTGGAAATGCCTGAGGAGGGGCAGGGTCCTCATCCCAGCTCCATCCCACGGGTTCCCAACCCTCTGACCTTGAGGAGCTTTGGGAGGCAAAGGCTGCAGCCACCCTGCAGC